AAAATAAAATAAAATAAAATAAAATAAAATAAAATAAAATAAAATAAAATAAAATAAAAGGAATGGTTTGGATGGCGGAGAGGGAAAGGATTTAAATGGAGCGAAATCCCAGACAGGGGAAAATCCTCTCGAGGAGAAAGAATTCTTCATTCCCAATCATCTTCCAGAGAGGGAAAAGTTGAATTAAAGTGAAATTTGGACCGGTTGGACTCCTCCAGCCCCTGGGTCCGGTGCCAATGTTCCAATTTTCCCCCTCTCCGTGCGTTCCAGAGGTGAATTAAACAATTTTTCCTCGAAATTTGGATTGCTTGCACTCCTCCAACCCTTCAGTTCGGTGCCAAATTTCCAAATTCCTCCCCCTCAACGCGTTCCAGAGTTGAATTAAACAATTTTCCTCGAGATTTGGACTGGTTACACTCCTCCAATCCCGAGTCCCGTGCCCATTTTCCAATTTTTTTTTTTCCCCTGCCGTGTTCCAGAGTTGAATTAAACAATTTTTTTGCATTCGAGTGATTTTTTTTTTCCCATTTTTCCTACACACCGTGGGTTCCAGAGTCAAATTAAACATTTTTCCTCGAAATTTGGACTGGTTGGACTTTTCCAACTTCTAAGTCCGGTGCCAAATTTCCAAATTCTTTCCCCCCAATGTGTTCCAGAGTTGAATTAAACAATTTTCCACAAAACTTGGACTTCGTGGACTCCTCCAACCCTTCAGTCCGGTGCCAATTTTCCAATTTTTTTTCCTCTCCATGTTTTCCAGAGTCGAATAAAACAATTTTTTCGCAAAATTTGCGCTGCTTGCACTCCTCCAACCCCTGAATCCTGTACCAATATTCCGATTTTTTTTCCTTGCCATGTTCCAGAGTCGAATTAAACATTTTTCCTCGAAATTCGCGCTGGTTGCACTCCTCCAACCTTTGAGTCCTGTTCCAATTTTCCAATTATTTTTCCTCTCCGTGTTTTCCAGAGTCAAATTAAACAATTTTCCTCGAAATTTGCGCTGCTTGCACTCCTCCAACCCCGAGTCCGGTACCAATATTCCGAATTTTTTTCCCTGCCATGTTCCAGAGTCGAATTAAACAATTTTCCTCGAAATTCGCACTGGTTGCACTCCTCCAACCCTGAGTCCGGTACCAATATTCCAAATTTTTTTCCCTGCCGTGTTCCAGAATTGAATTAACCAATTTTTCCCTTTTTTGGGTTTTTTTTTTGTTTGTTTGTTCGTTTTTTCCCCGTTTTCCAGACCCGGACAGCACCAACAACTCCCGGAGACTCCGCACCTCCTACACCAACACTCAGCTGCTGGAGCTGGAGAAGGAATTCCACTTCAACCAATACCTGTGCCGGCCTCGCCGGGTGGAGATCGCGGCTTTGTTAGACCTGAGCGAGCGCCAGGTCAAGGTTTGGTTCCAGAACCGCCGCATGAAGCGCAAAAAACAAACCCGGCACGCGGTGCTGGATGAGAACGGCGAACCCGAGCGTTTGGCGACCAAACAGAGCCCCGTGGCCAGCGTGGAGAGGCCCGTGGTGGCCACCGGGGAGGGGCGCGGGTCAGGGGAGAGGCCGCGGGGGTTTGGGATCCTCGCCGAGGAGGAGCTGGAATTGTTGGGGAGCGCGATCTGGAGCGCGGAGCTGCGGCTGGAATGGGAAGAGCGGCAGGAGAGAGAGGAAAAGGAGGTTTGGGGGTGCTGGTAGA